CATCAGACACTTCGAACACTTGCTATGGCGATGTGTGATGCTTCAGCAACTGTCATGCTAGGCCCCTTGTGGATCCATAACGAGGATCATCTGCAGAAACAGTAGGAAAGTCTAATACCAATACTGTGTGACAGTCAAGCTCCGTGCGTCATTGCATCAGCGCAAAGACACCAAATTCACAACTACTGCGTCGATCCCAGCCTCCCACGTTTATGCTCGACTGCTGAGCTTGAGTGTGGAACCAGACACATTGGGGCAACATCCAACTGCGAAGCATCTGCTGCTCCTCAATTTCTCGTTCTTTCGTGCATGCTCGCTTCTTTCGCCACTTGCCGGAAAGGTCCGTCGGCCCGTGTGTAATGCAAGCGGAAGCGCTTTTCCCAATGATGGGTCTGAGGCTGTGCATTCGCCAACTCCTTCCTGCCGTCAACACTGCTCCCTCGTCTGCCTGCTACTGCTTTTGCTGTGCAGACGAAACAGATGCGGGAGATGGAGAGTGCGAGGGGGGATGAGGAGGATGTGTGAGTAGTAACAAACGACAGAATGAAATGGAGCTTCATGAAGATATGCCCTGCGACGTCTGTGTTGGCAGGGACAGGAGCAGAATATAATATTGACCAATTAATCAGACGCAATGTACTCAATGACTTAGTGCGTGTCGGTCGCAACATCGCCGTATGACAGATCAACAGCAGGAGGACGCAAAGCGACGTGAATGACCGGATCTGATGCAGGCGTCCCCGGGAAATGACAATAACACACCAGCTCGATTGATTTCGGCCGGTAAGCAAACGGATGGCGCTCCAGAGTAATCGCAACTCTTCGAGTTACAGGCTCGTATCAAAATGGGAATTGGGTGGCTCGTAAACATGGAATAGGGCAGCACACGTAGGGACCCGGAGAGCAGGGAGCATCCAATCATAACGCAGAACATGACGGATGGTAAGACGCTCGCGTGTATGCGGGAAACCACGCTCTAACCACAAATGTTGGTTCAGAGGCAAAGGACCAAGTGTGGTAGGATCCTTTTGCCACATCCTGGGTGGGTCTCTTGCTTTCCTAGAACACCCTCTCTTCCTCCCTCCTCCACCTCCACCTCAATTCCTACCATTACTACTACCACTAGTAGTAGTAGTAGTAGTAGTAGTAGTAGTAGTACTACTACTAGTACTAGTACTAGTACTAGTAGTAGTAGTAGTAGTAGTAGTAGTAGTAGTAGTAGTACTACTACTACTACTATACTACTACTACCCCTGTCCCTTACGACTCCTACTACTCGTACTACGCCTCATGGACTACCACTGCTAAGCCAGACTACCACTACTACCACTACCGCTACCACCTCGCGTGTCACTACTACTACTACTACTTACTACTACTACTACTACTACTACTACTACTACGACTACTACTACTACTACTACTACTACTACTGCTACTCCTCCTCCTCCTCCTACTACTACTACTACTACTCCTATCACTACAGCCACTACATCAACAACAACAACTATTACTACTACTCGTACTACTCATTCCGTTACGACGACTACTACTACTACCACTACTACTCCTAGTGCTACTACAGCTACTGAAGTACTGCTACTACTACTACTACTACTACTACTACTACTACCACTAGTCAGCTCCTCTTCCACCACTACTCAACACTACTCGTTCTGCACCTCCTCTACTGCTGCTGCTGCTGCTGCTACTACTACTACTACTACTACTACTACTACTACTACTGCTGCTACTGCTACTACTACTACTACTACTACTACTACTACTACTACTACTACTCCTGCTACCACTACTACTACTACTACTACTACTACTACTACTGCTGCTACTACTGCTACTACTGCTACTACTGCTACTACTGCTACTACTACTACTACTCCTACTACTACTGCTTTCTCATACGACAACAACCACGACTATTACTACCCCTAGCCCCCGCCGCTCCTCCAAGGAGGCCCCACCAGACCAAGTCATCGTACTCGAGTACCGTACTATCTATAGCAGTTCGTACTCTTCCCACCCCGCCATGGAGGCGGCGCCAGACCGCGGCAGGGTATTCGAGTACCATATCGTTTGTCAGACTTCGTGCCCCTCCCACCCTGCCAGGGAGGCGGTGCCAGACCGCGGCAGGGTATTCGAACGTCATACTATCTATCAAATTTCGTGCCCCTCCCGACCCTCCAGGGAGGCCCCGCCAGACCGCGGCAGGGTATTCGAGTACCCCGTTCTGCATCAGGTTTCCTGCCCTCGCGCCAGTCCAGGGAGGCCCCGCCAGACCGTGGTAGGGTATTCGAATACTTCGCTATTTATGAAAGTTCGTGCCTTCCCCAACCCGTCCTGGAGGCGAGCACCAAACCATTTATCAAGTTTCGTGCCCCTCCAGCCCCTCAAGGGGGGCCGCGCCAAACCGCGGCAAGGTATCCAAATCCGCAACTGTGCGTCTGGCACGACGTGGAGCGCCCCGGAGTTCACGTCTGTGCTGCTGCTGCAACTAGAATTTAGATTTCCTCGGGGCACGGACGCCCGATTTCCCAGGCGATCTTGGGCCGGCCCGGGGTGCTTCGCGTGAGTTCTGATGTGTTCCCTGCGCCTCCTGTGGGCGTTGTGCTCCCCCCCAGAGCTACCTCCCGAACCCTCCCATGTGTCCAGGACGGCCTCGAGTCGGCGAAAGAGCGCTCCCAAACGCCCACGGCGGCCTCACGATGGCCCAACAACGTTCCAAGACGGCCCAAGAGCCCAAGAGGCCTCCCAAGAGGTCCCCAATATGCAAACACCAATGATTCCCCTCAGGTTTTTGACAGATTTTGGCGCTCGACGCTGCAAGACGGCCCAAGAGGCGCTCAACACCACCCGAAGACGGCCCAAAAGGCCCCCAAGAGGGCCTCAAGACGGCCCACGAAGGTCCCACGACGGCCCCCAAAGGGACCGAATCGAAAATCCGAGCCTTCCATCCCAAGAGGCCCCCAGGAGGCCCCAAGGGGTGCCCAAGAGGTCCCCAAGAGTTTGTAAAAAGGTCCCCAAGAGGTCCGACTCCTCCGAGTCCGACTCCGCATCCTCTTCCTGTTTCTCCTCCTCCTCCTCCTCCTCCTCCTCCTCCTCTTGTTCTTCCTCTTCCTCCTCCTTCTCCTCCTCCACCTCCTCCACGTCGTCTTCCTCCTCCTTCATTGTCGGGCACTTTTGAAACACTCTGCGAGAGCTTGCGAAAGTTTCCAAGCGCGTCGGAAGCACGTTTGGGCACTGCTAAACACATGTCTGGAAGAGTACCCACAGCATTCCAGGAGTTCCTTGGAAGCGCTCTGCGCACGTTTGCAAACACTTCGTAAACACTTCGGGGCACTGTCGAAACACAGTGCGAACGTTTGCAAGCACTTTGGAAGCACTGACCAGGTATTTCGGGCACTTTGGAAACCACGTCGCGAAGGTTTGCAACCATCTTCGCCAAAAACATTCAGAAGGCGCGTAGCACAAGTTTGCAATCATATTGGAATCACATCTGGGCATTTTTGCGACACTTGCGAATGTTAGCGCGCGCGTCGGAAGCACTTTTGGGCACAGGTGGTAACTTTGTGCGCTTTTCCCACACATGTGCCCGTAAATATCCAAACGTACCTCCAGCGTGCTTTCAAACGTTCGCAAACGTTCGCAAAGCGCTGCGAAATTATCCCAAAGTGCCCAAAGTGCTTCCAAAGTAATCACAAGTGTCAGAAATACTTAAACATGCACCGATGTGCTCGCACTTGTTCGCAAAGTGTTGCAAAAGTACCAACAAAGACCTCCACAATGTTTGCGCACATTCGCGAACGGTGGCGACGTGCTTCGAAAGTGGCCAAAAGTGACCAGAAATGCCTCCAAGGTGCCCGCCAGAGTTTTCAAATCGCTTCCACAACCCCACCTTGCCAGAGTCCGCAAACGTTCGCAAAGTGCTTCGAAGTTGACGAAAAGTGCTGGAGAGCGTTTCCCAAGTGCCTGCGAACGTACGCAAAGCGCCTCCAGAGCGCCGCCAGACTGCAATGGGGCTCAACAACTGTGTTCGCAAGTCACCCAAATTGCCGCCGATGTGTTTGCAAATATTCGCCAAAATTCGCAAAGAACCTCCAGAGTGCCTGCAAGACCACGCGGAGCGCAGACAGCCCTGAGAAGTCTTGCTCATGCTTGGCAGGCCCTGCCATGTACTGCGCTCCTCGAATCAAGCGCAAGCGGCCGCGAAATCGCGAGCTCCCATTTTAAACGTTACGTTCTTCTCCCAACGGACATTCTACATAAACGGTTCGCCGGCGAGGCCCTGAGCAAGAAGACCCACGCATACGCAGGTATTCATACTCAGATTCTTGGCGCTCAGACTCACTCACCTTCAGATGCATGCATGATCTGACGCATACGCACTGAAACGTTGCTGCCATTTGCTGCCATGCCCTTCGCCAGTTGCTGTCAACTCCTGCAATTTGCCTCCGCCTGGAACGAACGACCACTTGAACAAAAACCTCTCATGAGTTGCCCTCTAACGACAAGGCAAAATTGGCCCAGCATGAGCCGACAAAGGGGGGCTGCAATGGCATCCTTGGACAAACACCGCATCCTCATTATGTGCCTTGCTGCAGGGTCCGCATCCTGGCTCTCCCGCCGAACCGCGGAAACCAGGACCAATGCAGCACGTGCGGGGAGGGAGAAGGAGAAGGGGGCCCAATCGCCCAGGCTGGAACGCACAGGGCCGGGAGCCACGCCCCTTCGGAGGACCGCGAATGCAAGGGCGCTCATGCTGCACCACCCTGAGATTTGAAGTCGTGGAACAAAGTCACACCCTTGTGGGAGATCATAACAACACGACCGGACCCCCCTGGGATCCATCCGTGGGCGGGATCTCTAGTTGATGTAGGGCCGGATTGATGTGCGAAGATTCCGAGGCCCGAGGCGGGGGGCTGGGGGAGATCGCGTCGTGGCTTGTTCCACGACAGAGCTGTGGGTGACCGCGCCGACTTTTTCCGATCTGGCGGCGGCGGTCACCACCAGAGCCTCCGGCGCCGGCGCCAGTCCTGGCACAAGCTGCCAAGCCGTCGCCGCCCGGTGGGGGGTCACAGGCTACCATCCCGCGAAAACGGGTGAGCACAGAGGGCGCACCCACCCGAGCCCGCCCGGCGGAAATCCCGGGGCGAAGGGCAGGTCCAAAAAAGATGACGAGGGGTGGACCTCCCGCGTCGAGCTGTTGCTCTCAGGCTACGGACGCGATGCGCGATCCTCATCGCTGCGACCAAAAGGTTGTTGTTAATGGCGCGAGCCCCCCAGAGCTCTTGCGACCCGATTCCCCAGGCCGACTTCTCGCCGCGTGCAGTCTGTCCAGGGGCCCGAAGGCCGCCCCTGGACACTCAAATTGCAAAAAGCACGCGTGTATTCTGACTTTCGAGGGAGTCGCAGCGCGTGGGAGTCCGCTGGCCGTACTTCTCGGGGTGCGTGTGGAGGGAAGGGTCCCAGACCTCGACAACTTCCCCAGGGACTTGTTTTCCATCCCGCATCGCTTTCAGGTGGCCCGGGCGCCCGCAAGCGGCCCCTGGACGCCTCCACTGGCGCAAACCATCGTCCCGACTGTTTCAAGAAGCTGGTCGCTTGGGGCGGGGCAGGTGTGCCTTCTCTGCGTTCCCCGCGAGGTGCCGCATGCTCGTGTGTGGCAAAGCGCTCGAATTCGGCAGGAAGCTAACACCATAGCCTCTCCGCCAACCCAGGGGGCTGCCACCGAGCGCGTCGGGCCCGCCCCAGAGAACAGTCAGCGGCTCCTTGCCATGGCTCGGACGTCCATTCCCCGTGCATGTTTGGGTTTCGTGCGTTAATTTTTTCGCAGAAGGACCGAGGAGATGCTCCTCGAGGGTCCTCACCGAGAAAAAAAATCACACGCCCGAGCGATGCCAAGGCTCACGAGGGAGGCGAAGAGGGGTGGGGGTCGTCTTCTGAGAAGGCAGGCTGCTTATCAGATGGGGGCCAGAAGTTTCCGAAAGGGCTTCTTCCTGGGAGGCGGAGAAGGCTCCGAAAGCCGCCCGGCCTCCTCAGCTCTTGGGAGGCCGCCTCCCTCTCTCGCTCCACCCCCGACTCAAACCTTCTCGAGGCTGGCCCCGGACCCCTCTCAGGGGACACCCCGGCCAACCTTGGAGCTGCGCCCAGCTGTGGCCACCCGGGCCCTCCCAGGAGGCCCGAGCAGAGCACAGGAGGTCAGAATCCTGAAAATGCCACGCCTCCTCGAGGTCGAGCCCCCTCGGCCTCACCCCCTCTGGCATAAACATATGCTTTCAAGCGGTCCGCGCGGACTTCTTGGATCTGCGCTGGAACACCCCCTCTGGCGCGCGGAGCGGGCGGCGCCGGAGGCGCCGCCGGGGGGGGGGGGGGCCCAGCGCGGATCCAAGCAATCCGCGAGAGAGCGCCACAAACTTCTCTTTACTGCGCTCTCTCTTCTTCGGCCCTCGTGCGCGCCGCCGAAAAAAAGGATGGGAGCGCGCACTCCCGCCGGAGCTGGCCGCGGCTCAGCTCCAGGTGGCCAGCACCCGGGGCCGCGCGAGCCACTCCTCCTGCACGGCGGGGGCGGGGGGAGGCCGGGTCGCGCGCCCCGCCTCTGGCGTGTCCCGGCGCCGGCAGTGCGCGGGGCTCTGGGCACAAACGTCCAACGACCTGTCTTTCTGGCAGCTTCGTGAGTGGGCCCCGCGCTCCCCCCCCCTTGCGGCCGCCCTCCTCTTTCCCCCCCACACTCTTGAATGCGGGCTAATTCGCGACGCCGTGCCCCGGTCTCGCACAGACGCGCCTGCGGATTGCCTCCGTCGCGCTGCGACGAAACGATTTGTTCTGGAATCCTTGATCAGCTCTCTCCCTTGTGAGGTCTGGGGGCTATATTTCTGTGCGGATTGCAGTTCCCTTCCTCAGGCCTTCGGCGACTCGACTTGTTCGAGTCACTGGCCCCTGGAGTTCTTGACTCCTTGCCTGGGGCTGGTGTCTCTTTCATCCCGATAATCTTTTATGGCCCCGGGCCGCCAGAAACATCCCCCCAAGGCTGAACGTAAGGTGAAATATACTTATGCTGCCTTTCGAGTCGCCAGGTGAAGCTCTTGTCTAAAAAGACCTCTTGGCTTCCGCGCCGCGGGCTGCTGTCTGCAGTTCCTGAAGGGGCCTGACGCCGAACTCCAGAGGCGCGACGCTCGGAGCCTTGGGCGCCAGAGGTCCAGGGAGGCGGAGGAGGAGGAGGAAAAGGAGGAGGAGGAGGAGTCGGAGGAGGAGGAGGAGGAGGAGGAGGAGGAGGAGGAGGAGGAGGAGGAGGAGGAGGAGGAGGCGGAGGGGGAGGAGGAGGAGGAGGAGGAGGCGGAGGCGGAGGAGGAGGAGGAGAGGAGGAGGAGGAGGAGGAGGAGGAGGAGGAGGAGGAGGAGGAGAGGAGGAGGAGGGAGGAGGAGGAGGAGGAGGCGGCGAGCACCCCCGCGCACGAGGGGGCGGGGGCTGCCCTCCGAGAAAACAGGGGAGGGGTCTGAGAGAAGGCTCCCGAGAGGGTGCTCTGGCCCTCGCCTTCTCAAGAAAGACATCGCCCCACGCCAGCTGCTCCTGCGTGCTGCCGGGGATCCTCTGGAAATGAATGGGCGCATGATAATGCTCAGCAGGCGATTGTACGCGCGTGTGTGTGTGCGTGTGTGTGTGTGTGTGTGTGTGTGTGTGTGTGTGTGTGTGTGTGTGTGTGTGTGCGTGCGTGCGTGCGTGCGTGCGTGCGTGCGTGCGTGCGTGCGTGCGTGCGTGCGTGCGTGCGTGCGTGCGTGCGTGCGTGCGCGTGCGCGCGCGCGCGCGCGCTCGCGCGCGCGCGCGCGTGTGTGTGTGTGTGTGTGTGTGTGTGTGTGTGTGTGTGTGTGTGTTTGTGTGTGAGTCAGCTCTTGCGGCCGCTTCCTCTGCCCTGTCCCCTCCTCCTGCATGGTGGCGCAATTCGCTACACCGGCGCCCCCGTTCAGGCGGCTCATCGCCAGCCCATCTCCTGCCGCCGACGCAACCGAAAGTTTCCGAGTCAGCGCCCGCCCGTGGGCCTGTGGGCTCTGAGAGGCCTCCCCCCCCCCCTCCGCGCCAGCCGCTTCGACGCGCTGCCGAGAGGCAGCTCCTCCCGCGGCGGGGGGGCTCCCCTTCGGGCCCGCCCAGGAGCGCACGGCCCCTGCGCGCGCACGGGCGAAGCGCAGGCCGTCGACGCCCTGCCGGAGGACATCCGGATGCGGCCGGCGCTCGCGCAGATCTGGGCGCCGCAGCAAGCGGCTGCAAGACATCTCGACGTCGGCGGCCTGGGCTTCTGCATTGGGCCTCCCTCGCCATCGCTCGGAGGTCCATCCCTCGTGCATTTTTAGGCTTCTCTCTCTTGTTGTTTTTGTTGTTATTGTTGTTGTTGTTGTTGTTGTTGTTGTTGTTGTTGTTGTTGTTGTTGTTGTTGTTGTTGTTGTTGTTGTTGTTGTTTTTGTTGTTGTAGTTGTAGTTGTTGTTGTTGTTGTTGTTGTTGTTGTTGTTGTTGTTGTTTTTGTTGTTGTAGTTGTTGTTGTTGTTGGTGGTGGTGGTGTTGAACTCTCACTCTTAAAAAATAATCATTGTTGATCCCCCCCACCGGTGCACATTGATTTTTTCAATTGAGGTGCCCCCCCGGGGCTCGCATCTTGTTTTTTGTCAAAAAAAATCTTCCTGCTCAAACTGGCCCCCTGCCCCCTGGACTACAACAACAACGGCTCCCGCCTGAGACTTCCTCACAATTTAGCCAGGACCCCCGCTCCCGCCCGAGACTTCCTCGCATGTTATTCAGGAATCGCGCTCTCGCTTGGGACTTCCTTACAATTTATTTAGGAATCGCTCTCCCGGCGCTTTGGAGTCGCGCTTTCGCTGGAGACTTGCTTGCGATTTCATAGAATAGCGCCCTTGCGTTGGATTTTCTTGCCATTTACTCAAGCGCCGCGCTCCCGACACCCAGGCACCCAGGAGTCGCGCTCACGCTTAGGATTCCCTCACAGATTACCTAGGATCTCGCTGCCCTTCGTGGCCCCGTTGCAGCCCTTCGTGGCCCCCTCGCTTTGTTTCGTGGCCCCGCTGCAGCCCTTCGTGGCCCCCTCGCTGCCCTTCGAGGCCCCGTTGCAGCCCCTCGTGGCCTCCTCGCTGCCCTTCGTGGCCCCGCTGCAGCACTTCGTGGCCCCCTCGCTTTGTTTCGTGGCCCCGTTGCAACCCTTCGTGGCCCCCTCGCTGCCCTTCGTGGCCCCGTCGCAGCCCTTCGTGGCCCCGCTGCAGCCCTTCGTGGCCCCTTCGCTGCCCCTCGTGGCCCCGTTGCGGCCCTTCGTGGCCCCCTCGCTGCCCTTCGTGGCCCCATATATGTATGCCCTTCGTGGCCCCCGTTCGTTCGCGCCCGTGGTTGCCCCATATGCATGCCCTTCGTGGCCCCGCTGTCGCCCTTCGTGGCCCCCTCGCTGCCCTTCGTGGCCCCGTTGCTGCCGTCAGTGGCCCCGTTCTTGCCCTCCGCGGCCCAATATACGTATGCCCTTCGTGGCCCCCGCTCGTTCGCGCCGGTTTTGGCCCCATGTGCATGCCCTTCGTGGCCCCGTTGTCGCCGTTGCTGCCCTTCGTGGCCCCGTTGCAGCCCTTCGTGGCCCCGTTGCAACCCTTCGTGGCCCCCTCGCTGCCCTTCGTGGCCTCGTTGCGGCCCTTCGTGGCCCCCTCGCTGCCCTTCGTGGCCCCATATATGTATGCCCTTCGTGGCCCCCGCTCGTTCGCGCCCGTGGTTGCCCCATGTGCATGCCCTTCGTGGCCCCGCTGTCGCCGTGTGTGGCCCCCTCACTGTCCTACGTGGCCCAATTTGCTACCTTCAGTGGCCCCATCGTTGCCTTCTGTGGCCCCGCATTATCTGCCTTTCGTGGCCCCCGCTCGTTCGCGCTCTTCGTGGCCCCATACGCATTCCCTTCGTGTCCCCGCTGTCGCCTTTCGTGGCCTACTTCGTGTCCTTCGTGGCTCTGCTGTCGTTCTCTCTCGCTCTCGCTTTCGCTCGTCGCCGTCGTCGTCGTCGTCGTCGCCGTCGTCGTGGACGTCGTCGTCGTCGTCGTCCTCGTCGTGGTCGGTCCCCTGTCCGTCCCTCTGGGGGTCGGGTCGACGGTCCGCGGCCGCCCCGCCGATCAGCGCTGCCGCTGGCCAGGCCGACGGTCCGCGGCCGCCCCGCCGCTTGCCTGGGCCCGGCCTGCAGGGAAGAAAGGTATACCCCCCAAAAGGGGTTCGATCGAAGACGGAGAGGGCGGGTATCGAGGGTTTGGGAAATACGCGTTATTGGACACTCGAGCAGATAAGGGCGAACAGTCTTAAAATGATTGTTGTTGTTGTTGTTGTTGTTGTTGTTGTTGTTGTTGTTGTTGTTGTTGTTCCCCCCTTGCCTTCCCGCAAGATGATCCAAGATGCTCCTCGAGGGTCCTCGCCAAGAAAACATGCGCACGCCCGAGCGATGCCATGCTCTGTGGGGCCTGCTTCTGGCCTGGGGGTCCGCAAAGAGCAGCCCACGGCGCGAAATGCATACGAATCTCAGGGCTGAGCGCTCCAGAAGCCCACTGATGGATGGGGGGCTCTTGGAGCGGCCACGATGGGGCGGCGGCGGAAGGCAATGTCCCGCTTCGGTTGGCGACTATGGCCGCCTCCCGCAGGCCTCGTCGTCGTCGTCGTCGTCGCTGCCGTAGGCCTCGCTTCGTGCCACGCGAAGCGCGACTAGGACGGCTTTTCTGGCCTGTGCCGCGAAGCGCGAAGTTCGATCAGGACCTAGAGGGCCTGAGCCAAGTCTCCCAGTGCTGGGCTTATGTCGGGCGTGTCCCCTTACAGGGGAATTTTCGACGGAAAATTAAAAAAATACCCCAAGAATACCCCCCCAAAAGTCAACACATACTCTAAAAATGGTCCCCAGACTATTTTTGGACATTTTTTTTGATTTTGTTGGGGGTATTTCCTACTTTTCGTAAAAAACTCCCCTGTAGGGGGACAGGCCCGACTTAATCCTAACCCTTCTCGCCCTGCATTGTCCGAATTCGCCGACGTCCGCTGGCCAGGACTGCAGACTCGCGCGAGAGGATTGGCTGTCCCCGTGCCAAACATCTGTTAGCTCACTCTGGATGCACATGCGGGAGAACGTTGCGCACCATGACGCGCCCCAGAAATTTTCGAGGGCTCCTCACTTCGTCTGGGTGTCGGCGGGATGGCGTAAGCCTGTTGAATGCATGAAGAGGACGGAAGGGGAGGGCAAGAAGGAAGAGCTCACAGGTATGAGGAGTAAGAGGAGGAGGAGGAGGAGGAGGAGGAGGAGGAGGAGGAGGAGGAGGAGGAGGAGGAGGAGGAGGAGGAGGACAAAAAAACATTTCCCCGCTCGCTGAAGCCCCGGTAAACGACATACAAGGTATAATCCGCGATTTTGGCGTCCAGAGCCGTTTTCGCACCCAAGAACAAATCTAAAAACGTTCCCGTGGCACGCAGCTGGCCCCGCGGATGCGGTGGGAAGCTCCGATGCCCACGTCGTGACACAATCGCGTCGTGGCAGCAAGGGCACGCCAACCCGTGGACTTCAACGGCCCTGGCGAGATGAGAGCTCGTCGCAGGATCGATGCTCAAGAACAACCTCCTCCTCCCTTCCCCCACTCCCGTCCCCCCCTGACAAATAGGAGAAGGCGGAGGAGGAGGGGGAAGAAGAGGAGGAGGAGGAGGACGAGGACGAGGAGGACGAGGAAAGGAGGATGATGATGAGGATGAGGATGAGGATGAGTAGGAGGAGGAGAAGGAGGAGGAGGAGGAGGAGGAGGAGGACGAGGAGGAAGAGGAACTCCTCCTCCTCCTCCTCCTCCTCCTCCTCTTGCCCTCCTCCCCCTTCCTTCCCCCCCTCCCTCGGTCTACCTCCCCTCTTTGCGCACCCCCCCTTCCCGCCCCTCCCCCCTCTCGGGCTCCTCCATCATCAACCTCGTCCTGTTGGCCTGCATGGCCACGCATTCCTTGGCGGGTTCCTCCTCGGTGTTGCTGCGGTCCTCCGTGCCCAACAGCCCTCCGAGATGCTTCTCTCCGAGCTGATCCAGCCTCTGGGCAGCCACAATGCATGCGCCGTGGCAACATTGTCCGATCTGCGCAGAGGACGGACGAAGATGGAATACTCCCCACGGACGTCATTGTCGTCGCTTCTCGTTTGAGCAGGAGCCAAGATTTACAGGCGCAAGGGTGTTATGGAGGTGCTTTGATAGAGCCACTGCTCTGTGCTGCTCCTCCCTCCTCCGTCTCCTCCTGCTTTGTGGTTATTTTGCTATGTTGCTGTTCCTCTCTCCCTCTCTCGCCGCTGGAAGGGAATGGAGAACGAGTCCCAGACTAGAGCCATTGGCAATCTGGCTATCGACAAGGACAACTTGCAGCGGTCATTGGGTGCGAAGCCACCTCTGTTGGCATCCGCATATGGCCGACTGGCGAATTTGAGAGCTAATATAAGGGATGTGTTTCGCCCTGCCGCTTGCGGCAATGGTCAACTGTCACAATGAGCGGAACGGAAGAGTATGCGAAGCGATGGGATGCAACCGCCGTTGTGGACCAAATCCAGGGCTAGCTCAGACCAAGCGGCCTCGAGAATCCGGCTTGTCCGGATGCATGCAACGCGAAGCACATACAATGTTAGGAGGAGAGGGGCAGGACAAAGAGGACGGTGTCGGCGCGGACTGGGCGTGTCGTCTCGATTTTCTCTTGGTGTTCACTTGTGGGTCATTGGTCCTGGGTGCTTGCTGGTGTGAGGTCTGAATAGTGATGCTTGAGCGCCGCCCATGCTTCGGTATCTGCGGCTGTTTGCGTCCATGTGATGCTGTTTGGTTGTCCTCTCGATTGGGTATGTCTGGGTGATCGGCGGAGGGTCGCGTTGGCGTGCGTAGGTATTCGTTTCGTCGTCCCACCGCTTTCGTTGTGCCTCTGTCCCTGCTTGCGTCTGTTGATGTCTGGTTGCTAAAGTCGTAGTTTGCGACTGTTGAAGCCATGCGCCATACTTTTCGCATGTGTTTCGTCACTCAATTGTCGATGCCGTGAAGCTTCATAAGGCGATCGACTCGTCGTGCCGCTCGCTGAATGTATTGCGAAGGCCTTACGGCCGGTGCCGCCGACCCTGAATGGCGACGACGACGACGACGACGACGACGACGACGAGCGCTCTTGGGGGCCTCTTGGGGGTAGTTTGTGGGCCTCTTGGGAAGGTCTTAGGGGCCGCTTGGAAGCCTCGTGGGGGCCTCTTGGGGCTTCCTGGGGGTCTCTTGGAGGGGGCCTGGGACGTCTTGGAGGCTTCTTGGACGGTCTTGGGGCTATCTTGGGCGTTTTCGGCCGATCTTTGGGCGACTCGGGGCCCTCTTGGGCCGTCTCGGGGGCCATCTTGGGCATTCGGACCTCATTTGGAGTGTTTTCGAGTTTCTAGGCCGCCCGAGGAAAAACGAATCTGCCCCCCCCCCCCCCGGGACCCCCCCGGGACGGGACCCCCCCCGGGACCCCCCCCGGGACCCCCCCCGGGACCCCCCCCCCTGGGGAAGGGATCAAAGGGAAGGGGCTTCCCTTCGACTCGATTACGACACTGCTCGATTTTTCTCTCGCTCACGAGCTTGAGAAGGAAGCTGCAGGGAAAGGGGACGACGGCCGCTCGCTGAATGTATTCGACCCATGGTTCCCACAGGTCTGCAATTGTGCTGTCTTCGCCGCTCTCGCTGCGCATGTCGGGCATGATTGTTGTTTCTCGCTGAACTGGGTTGCTCTCTGTGTCGTCGCTAGTGCTGCTGGTGCTGTGGTCGTTGTCTGGTGTCTCGTTGTTTGTGCTGTCGAATGTACTGGGTCTCTGGCTGCTGTGAAAATCTGCTTGTTGTGTTGTGCGTCGCCGCGGCGTTCTGGTGATCATGCCAAGCATGCGTCGCTGTGTTAATCGTAAATCCGCCGACCCTGTCGGCGTGTGCGAGGGGCTTGGCTGTTCGAGTCGTCGTCTCCGTCGGTCGTCGCCTCCGTCGTCCCCTTTCCCTGCAGCTTCCTTCTCAAGCTCGTGAGCGAGAGAGAAAAATCCAGCAGTGTCGTAATCGAGTCGAAGGGAAGCCCCTTCCCTTTGATCCCTTCCCCAGGGGGGGGGGGGGGGGGGGGGTCCCGGGGGGGGGGTTGGGGGGGCAGATTCGTTTTTCCTCGGGCGGCCTAGAAACCTCGAAAACACTCCAAATGAGGTCCGAATGCCCAATATGGCCCCCGAGACGGCCCAAGAAGGCCCCGAATCGCCCAAAGATCTGCCGCAAACGCCCCAGACAGCCCCAAGACCGTCCAAGAAGCCTCCAAGACGTCCCAGGCCCCCTCCAAGAGACCCCCAGGAAGCCCCAAGAGGCCCCCACGAGGCTTCCAAGCGGCCCTTAAGACCTTCCCAAGAGGCCCACAAACTACCCCCAAGAGGCCCCCAAGAGCGCTCGTCGTCGTCGTCGTCGTCGCCATTCAGGGTCGGTGGCACCGGCCGTAAGGCCTTCGCAATCCTGCTAGAAGGACTCTGTGACCGTCCACGCCCCTGCTTTGTATAATATTGTAAAGATTAGAATGGTGTTGAATAGCCGCAATCGGTGAGCCAGAAGGTAGCACTTGCTGGTCAACTTTTATTTGCGAAAATGAACGGTGCCAGTGCTGCTCTCGCGCGGTGAGATTCCGTGTCCATCGGCTCGTGGATACGGGTCAAGTGGCTGAGGTATGTGAGACCGCCCTCGAAACTATAATAATGATGTCTATATTCATCTCTTAGACGCGCGTTGTGCCTGAGCTCGCCGTCCCCGTCCTTCTCGTCTGGTTGCTGAATATTTCCATTTGCTCTGGTGTAGTTCGAGCCCGTGCGGCTCTGCTGCGCGCGCAGTGTCATCGATTATCGTTATCAGTCTCAGGAGAGTTTGGCTGGTCAGAAGCACGTCGTCGGCGAAACGTAAGTTGGTAAGCGTGGCGGTACCCGCGTATCCCAATTTAAATCCGTCATTTTCCGCTGATCAGAAATCACCGGGCGAAGAGCGTATTGTAGAAGAGCGTTGTCAAGTAGGGAGCTAAGTGGGTTGTCCTGCTTCGTCCCCACAGAAGGCTGAAAGGCCTGCTGTGGACGTCTGTATTCACCGTAGCTTTCTGTCCATCGCAGAGCTGCAGAAGTACTGCAATGTATCCAGGTTGTAAGCCTTGTGCTTTCAGTGCTGCCGATATGCTCTTGTGCCCAACTGCAACGACAACTTTTTTGAAGTCGAATGCCGCGATCCATAGACGTTGGTATTATTCGTATGCCCGCTCACGTAATTGGTTTGAATGAAACAGTGGTCTATGGGCGAAAGGCCTGGTCTGAAGTCCACCGTGTCGGCGGTGCCAAGTTTTGGTCGTAGCCTGTTATTTCCAACCATCCTGTGGTGTTGGGTCCTCGTTTTGAAAAGACGTCGCCCCACGTTCCTCTCCTCCTCCTCCTCCTGCTCCCCCTTTCTCCTCTCTTCCCGTCATCATCATCGTCATCATCATCATCCTGATCATCACCATTACCATCAGCGGCATCATCATCATCATCGTCATCATCGTCATCATCAACATCATCACGGCCGTCATCATCACCAACATCATCACCCATGTCGGCATACCCCTCACACGTTTCGTGGCCCCATAGGGAACTCCACCGAAGGCCCCAGTGTCACCGCCCGCATGCGTCCCCCACACACATGTCGGCACATCCCTCACACGTTTCGTGACCCCATACGGAGCTCCACCGAAGGCCCCAGTGCCACCGCCCGCATGCGTCCCCCACACCCATTTCGGCACATCCCTCACAAATTTCGTGGCCCCATAAAGCTCCACCGAAGGCCCTCGTGCCACCGCTCGCATGCCTCCCCCACACACCCATTTCGGCACACCCCTCACACGTTTCGTGGCCACATAAGGGGGTTCCACCGAAGGCCCCAGTGCCACCGCCCGCATGCGTCCCCCACACCCACTTCGTCACACCCCTCACACGTTTCGTGGCATCATCAGGAGTCCCACCGAAGGCCCCAGTGCCACCTCCCGCATGCGTCCCCCGCACCCATGTCGGCACACCCCTCACACGTTTCGTGGCCCCATATGGAGCTCCACCGAACGCCCCAATGCCACGGCCCGCATGCGCCCCCCCACATACCCATGTCGGCACACCCTTCACACGTTTCGTGGCCACATATGGAGTTCCACCGAAGGCCCCAGTGCCACCGCCCGCATGCGTCCCCCACGCCCATTTCGGCACACCTCTCACAATTTTCGTGGCCCCACAGGGAACTCCACCGAAAGCCCCAGTGCCAACGCCCGCATGCGTCCCCGACGTCCATTTCGGCACACCCCTCACACGTTTCGTGGCTCCATAGGGAGCTCCACCGAAGGCCCCGGTGCCACCGCCCGCATGCGTCCCTCACACCCATTTCGGCGCACCCCTCACACTTTTCGTGGCCCCGTGGGAAGCTCCACCGAAGGCCTCAGTGCCACCGCCCGCGTGCGTCCCCCACACCGATTTCGGCACACCCCCCATACGTTTCGTGGCCCCATAGGGAGCTCCACCGAAGGCCCCAGTGCCAACGCCCGCATGCGTCCCCCACACACATGTCGGCACACCCTTCACACGCTTCGTGGCCCCGTAGGGAGCTCCACCGAAGGCCCCAGTGCCACCGCCCGCGTGCGTCCCCCACACGAATTTCGGCACACCCCTCACACGTTTCCTGGCCCCATAAGGGGGCTCCACCGAAGGCGCCACTGCCACCGCCACCATGCGTCCGCCACACTCCAGGTTTCAGGAAACAACTCCAGACCTCTGGGGAGAGAGGAGGAGGCGGAGGAGGAGGAGGAGAAGGAGGCCTGCTCCCCCCCGTATGTATGTTGCTTTGCATTCGCGGGAGATTCCATTCCACCAGCGAAGGTCTTTCCGGTGTTCTCGCTGTGGTCGCTTTAAACGAGCGGTGGAGGAGTGGCCTTCTCTCGACTGCGCAACTAATTGTTTGGCCTCGCGCCGCGGACGACCCGCGCACGTCGCTGGAACCCTCCTGGGGCGACCAGCGCGCGTCGCG